CATGCTTCTACGTATATCGTAATTAGAAAAATACATATATCTCGAAATGCATTTTCTTCTCGAACATTAAGTTTAAATTGTTTTCGAAACATTGTAACGGTCGAAAATGAACAACGATAATAATGGTAAATATTATACGATAGAGCTCTCCGTCCCGCGGGCATCTCTGCCCACATCCAAAACAAAGGCGATATGCATATTACGATAGTCGACGTACACACACACTATCACCGCTGCCTAGTACCCGTGGTCGAGTTAACCGGCCGACACTACGTTATAATCAAATACCGGCCAATAATCAGTTATTACCAAATCATCGTAGAATATTGTATGTTTTTCTGCGTGTGATGTGTAACGCGTCCGACGCCCGTTACTTTCATTGTGCCTCTCTGCCGGACAACATGACGTGTGAGTAGGTACTATTTTACCGCGGACGTCCTGTGGACGACGCCCAGTCACAATATCACGATTTGGTAATACCATTCTTATTATTATTATTATCATATACTATACCTTGGCCGGTATTTCATTTCATTTCGTTTCGTTTCTTTTCTGTGTATAATACACACTATAGTGTACTAATATTATTGTATTATTATTATTATTATGCATTTGTTGTATTTTTTCTAAGGTGACCCTTTTTGTTGCGTTCAAGTTTTTATGCCAGTGTGGGCTTTTCTTGGCCATAAATTAATTATTCATTTTCCATAAGATCATTAAAATTAATATACCTTTTAACTCACCCATCAATTGTATGTTCTTATTGTTTTTTCCTATTTACATTATTCTGTTACAAATCCCACACGCTCCGGTTTCCGAATCTCGGCTGTGGGTTGGCGACCTTCCCACTAAAGTTTTTCGTCAACGTACGCTCCACGCCGAATCTGGGTAAGCCATCGTGTGAGACGTTACAGTTGGCGACCTTGCCAGGATTAATTTTGTATTAAGTGTACATGACATACGCTAGTGACCTGTCGGTCAAATATATATATATATATATCTATACGTCGTGTGTTTATTGTACAACAAAAAGGGTACGTGCAACCAGCATCACGTTAGTGTAAAGTACCGGCCATAAGTTATATATATAAGGTTACGTAGAACCAGTACTGCCTGCGTGTATTTTCAGAAATGATCCGGTGATCAAGTGTACCTACTTATGATATGACGGTGTCGTGCAAAACGGATCTCCACCATGCTGGGATCGGAGGGTGATAGTGCAGGTGTGTGTACCGCAGCCGTCCAGAGGATTGGTTTGACTTGGACGTTTTCCACCACTACTCGTTGCTGTTGTCCCCGGTACCACAGAACCGTGTCTCGGAGGTTACATCGACATTAAGGGGAGGTGTATGTCCTCATCGCGGTGTGGGCAGAAACGGCGGCTAGCTATATGGTTTAATCTTAAGTATGTTATTTGTACACGTCTTTGTGTGCACCTGTATATATGTCTCATCCTATTTATTTGGTTCGATTACGTAACCACTAGTAATTAACTTTATCGGTCTACCGCCGTTGTGCGATAGTAATTATTCGTAATTGGGTGCGTATCGTTCCAGTACGGCTGTACGATCGTTCCCCGATGTCTAATTTAAATTATTACAACGTTTTGTACCTCGTTGTTATCGTTCCAAATTGTTGTTGTTCTTATTGTTGATTTTGTGTAATCACTGATCAGCTGATATGTCGATTTTACTCGCGTAATATATTATGTGCTGTGACGACGATCTTCCGTCCGCCGTATTTATTTCTGTTTCCAGTTTTTTAACAATGATAATCTCTGATATTATTTGATCAGAATTGGTAGACCGAGACTTTTAAACTGTTTTACCCACGTTAGGTCCGTGCACACATTGACGATTAGTTTTAAGTTGCCCATAAGCTGTATGTCCCGCGGTGACCGGAGCGCATGTATATCGCTCGCGTTATATAGGTTGTCGCACGTCTGAGCAAGTCCGTGAGTACCTTTCGCTTATGTGTTAATAGGTCCTCGTCGCGATACGAGTGTGGTGTACCATAGTGATAGAGTGTGGATATTTGGCGGGGTGAACAATTTATATATTTTTCTTTTTCTCTTCGTCTAATGAATTTTTCGTCAATTTTTTGAGCATTCGGCACCATCTATATTTGTGTAGAGAATTATTTTATACATTGTGTTTTGTTTTTTTTTTTGCTTATTATAATATTTCAATGCAAGTCGATCAATGACTTTTTGTTTGTTGCTCCATAATTATTTCTTGCTGAGATAGTTTCTGTCTATTTAAATTAAAATATGATACCTACCGGCCAAGGTGATTTTCGAATATGTTACCAATTCGCTGTGTGTTCTGAGTGTCGTCCCGACGTTCCGGTGATATTCATCCATAATATTTTATTATTTTCTATTATTATCGAAACCCGTTGTTTTATTGTTTTTCTTTTGTTTCCTCGTTATTTGTCTACGAGTTACGTTTGTCCGAGGTCGTCTCACGTTTGACAACCCGTAATATCTATTTGTCTGAAGTTGTGTTTCTGTTCATCTTTGTTTCGTAATTTCTTTCACTACAAATAAGCACTCGTTTTCCGTTTTGGATAATTATTTTTCGTTGTTCGTCGTTGATGTACTCAGCTGGCAAGCGAGAGACTCGTCCCCCCCGACCGTCTGATCGATAGTCTATTCCAGCAAGAGAAAACCAAGATGGGTCCAATTACGAACACTACTACGTCATCTCCGACACCCAATATCCCGACAACGAGCACAACCATGGCTTCTTCGGTGTCTGTGGCAACGACTTCTGTTGTTCAGTCAAAACCATCAACCACCGATCAACAAAAAGTGGAACCGAGTGTTCAATCAATACTCCACCAAATGATGGCCAAAATAAATGCCAATCATAATCGAACTGAGGAACAATTTGAAGCCCTACATCGAAAGACGGAAGAGGGGATTAATCAATGCGCCCAGCGATACCAACTGACGGACACTCGTCTAACAAGAGTAGAAGACGAAAATTTGGTCATAAAAACTCAGTTGGATCAACAAACCACGAGCAACCAGGTCACCGAAAATCGCCTCAGCACACTGGAGAGTGACGTGGTACAGATGAGGAAGGAGATAGCTCAGATATCAGGCAATCATATAGTATCTACGAACCATGACTTATCGCAGATTCTAAAACCCAGTGTTCTGTCTTCAACTGCTGTTCCAAATAATCTGTCCGGCCTCAGTAATGGATCTCCCATGCCCCCGACAGTTCCAACCACTAACCTCGTGAATACGTTCGATTCACAAAGATCATCGTTTTTGTGAGCTCAAGAACGTTTCCAAGATTCCGTATCTGAGTTTTCCGGGCAAATTCAAGTAATCCATCCGCAAAAATTTATTGGACAAGTTGACGCCTATTTTGACAGCGTACATGTGTCACCTGCCCAACAACTTATATCCACACATCGACGTTTAGTAGGAGATGCTCAAGTTTGGTACGAATCATTAATCCCATCACCTCGTTCATACGCTGAATTTCGTCAGTTATTCCTTCAGCATTTTTGGTCTCCGGCGACTCAACGTAAAGCCCGAAATGAGATTTTTCGGCATTATCAATACACCAGATCCGATGGTTTGGCTACACATGCCATGAAATGGATTGCTGGGGCTAAGTATCTCAACCCACCGATTGAACAATCCGACCTCGTGTCCACTATTATTCAACATTATCCCACATCACTTGGAATGGCAATTCGAGGTCGAGGACCCCGTGATACCAACGAGCTGTTATCCGTTTTGATGGAATTTGAAGAATCAGCATCATTTTGTGAACGACGTCGTGAAGACAATCAGGTTCGACCTACATTCCAACACCAAAACAATGGAAATCAACAACCTCGTTATAATACTCCCCGTCGAGATAATTACCGGTTCCAACCACGAGTCCCAACACCGGATAACGCGGGTCCACGTCCCGTAGCACAACTTGATATGTCGGGAAACGACGACGAGGCTCGTACGTGAGTATGTCATGTCACGAAGTCTCTAATTTAAATGAACATACAACATCCACACAGATTGTCGCAGATGGTGTCTCACCAAAATGTAAACGCCCAGAGTTGTCAATTTTAATTTATAATAAACCATTCAACGCATTACTTGATTCAGGTGCTTCTGTCTCGGCCATTTCAGAAGAGATATTTGCATCTATCAAGCGAAACATTCCGGAGGGACAGCAATTATCAATCTTACCCGTTACGGGAGTCACCGTATCAACCGCTGTAAAAAGTCGTAGCCGGAAAGTCACTACTCAAGTCCTCATACCGTTCTCTATTTTTGGACACACTACTGACTGCATCTGTCTTGTTGTTCCACATCTGGCAACCTCCATTATCCTAGGAGATGATTGGTTGACTCAGAACAAAGTGTGTTTGGACTACTCTGAACGGATTGTACGTCTCACCCGTTGGAACCTTAATATACCATTTTCAAAAACACCGGATGATGCAATTAATCATATGAGTGCTCTATTTACTTTGTCTATCTCACCTCAAGACTGTGCGAGGTCGATAACTGAGCATTGTATAGCGAGTGTCGAAATGATTTCTCAGCAGTTACAATCGTCAACCGACAACAATATGATCACCAGCTTACAAGTAACCCCGGAAAACGATTTAGAACCTTTCGATCACATCACTGAACACCTGTCAACGGTTCAGAATATCTCGTCAAACCAATTGGAACAAGTCGTTGGCCTATTTCATGAGTACCACCACATTTTTCGCACTCGTCCTGGTTTAAACTTGTTGTTTACGTGTCGCTTCAATGTCAGTGAAGATATTCCTTTCAAGATCCGTCCATATCCAGTACCGTTTGCTCGACGTCCTGCAGTTGAAAAGGAATTGGCTCGCATGCTAGGGTGGGGGGTGATCGAAAGATGTACTTCACCCTATAGCAATCCAATTATATGTGTCGGTAAGGCCGATGGTTCTGTCAGAATATGTTTAGACGCCAGACGCCAAACAAAATAATTCTGCCGATGCGTGACTCATCGCCACCACTCGACGAACTACTTGCCCGTTTTGGGGGAAAAGCAATTTTCTCAAGTATAGATTTTACGGCCGGATATTGGCAAGTTACTCTACATCGTGACGTCAGAAAGTATACCGCGTTCGTGTACGACGGTCGAACATATCAATTTCGTGTCGTACCATTTGGGCTCAATATCTCAAACACAGCATTCCAACAGGCACTCGAATCAGTTCTCTCCAATCCAGTTGATCACTACAATGAAGACTGATTAGGGGATCTCCATATCTACGTTGACGACGTGTTGGTATCATCAACAACTTTTGAAGACCACATACGTCGCCTTCGACTTCTCTTTACGAAAATCGCCGTCTCAGGGATGTCCTTAAAGTTGAGCAAATGTAAATTCCTCCGTAATAAAATTAAGTTTCTAGGTCATATTATTACGCCTTCAGGCATGTCTATGGATCCTTCAAAGTTGTCGGCTATTCATGATTTTCCAGTTCCCCGACACAAAAAAGATCTTCAGTCGTTTATAGGTTTTTGTAACTTCTATAGGAAATTTACCGACCATCACGCTTCTTTGATCGGTCCATTGATTGCATTACTGAAAAAGGGTGTTCCGTGGCGATTTAACGAGGTAGACGTGGCCCATTTCAATTCCGTTAAATCTGCATTTACCGAGCGTTTCCTCGCCCATCCTGATTTCACATCAGAGTTCTATTTGCAAACCGATGCCAGTCATCTTGGTCTTGGAGCCGAACTGTTTCAAGTCGATACATCCAACGAACGACAAACGATCGGATTTGCTAGTCGAACTTTAAACTCCGCTGAGAAAAATTACAGTGCCACCGAGTTGGAATTAGTGTCTATTGTATTTGCCTGTGAAAAATTTCGGGTGTTCATTCTTGGTTACCCTGTCAATGTATTAACTGACCACAAGGCACTTACGTTCTTGTTTCGATGTAGGCTGAGAAATGCACGTCTCACCCGTTGGACCCTTGTTCTTCAGGAGTTCGATCTACGAATAAAATACATCACTGGACCTAGCAACGTAATCGACGCTTTATCTCGCAACCCGGTAGATCGAGATCTAATCAACCAACAATCCGATTCACTCGGTATTTTCATAGTTACTCCTCGTAGGTTACTCACCGAGTACCAATCTCGTATAGAATCTTTTCAACATATACTCCGGGAACAGCAGATGGATCCGGCGCTTCGAAAGGTAGTTGATTTGTTGTCCAATAAGTCTCTCGTGTCAAGTGCCATTACTGAACGATATTGTATGTATCGGGACATTTTGTTCTATCGTTGACATCTCAACTCAGATAGGTGGCTAGTATGTGTGCCTATACATCGAGTCGATGAGCTTATCTTTAAATTCCACCTGCATTTTGGACATGTAGGTCCGAAAAAATGTATTGCCGCCATTCGAGAAGTGTGTTATTTTCGTAGTCTAAGTGCAAATGTACGTAATGTGGTGAAAAGTTGTGACACCTGTCAACGTGCAAAAGGTAGCACCGTAAGGACAGAAGGTGAAATGCAACATGTGATAGCTAATGCACCCCTCCAGCGAGTCTGTGTTGATTTGTACGGTCCATTGCCATCTGGGTGGAATCACGTTAAGAACGTTTTCGTTGTACTCGACTGTTTCTCTAGATTTGTCCGGTTATATACGATCAAACGGTCCACTGCAGTTGTAGTAACCAATCGAATGATCACTGACTACATTGAAGTCCATGGAGCTCCACAAACCGTTGTGTCGGATCACGGAGTCCAGTTTGTGAGTAATGTGTGGCGAGCTCGTCTTACTGCGATTGGTGTATGTGTAACAACTACTAGCGTCTATCATCCTCAGAGTAATCCAGCTGAACGGGTTATGCGCGAGTTAGGTCGATTTTTTCGTACTTATTGTCATCAGTCCCATACCGAGTGGCCCCGTTACGTTCAGTATATTGAGTGGGTGTTGAATAATACCGTTCACGAGTCGACGGGTTTCACTCCTAGCGAGATTTTCTTAAAAACTGAAAGGTATAGTCCGATATATGAAGCTGTCGAATGTCCGCCGAAAGGTAGTGATGATTTTACGGTCAAGCTAACGATGGCTGCCGAGGTTCAACGAACTAAGGCCGAGGAACGCCGAATTCGACATGACCGTCGCGGTAAAACTACAAAATTTCTGATCGGGGAAGAAGTCCTCGTTCGTGCACATCGCTCCTCTTCCGCCGTTGACCATCAGATAAAGAAATTTTTTATGTTGTATGAAGGACCGTATAAAATCATAGAGATTAAAAGCTGTAATGCGTATGTCGTAGCTGATCCTGTAACAGATCAAGTTCGGGGAACTTTTAACATTATTTTTCTTAGAAAGTACATCCGTCCTACTGATGCTAAGCAATCAGCTTATTGACGGCACGGTTAAGTCAAACCCCTATTCAGCCTCGTATAATTTCTCCCTGTTTCTTTCTGCAGAAGCGCCCCAGACAGGTCCAGGACCCTTCTACTGGGGGGTTTCTGTAACGGTCGAAAATGAACAACTATAATAATGGTAAATATTATACGATAGCGCTCTCCGTCCCGCGGGCATCTCTGCCCACATCCAAAACAAAGGCGATATGCATATTACGATAGTCGACGTACACACACACTATCACCGCTGCCTAGTACCCGTGGTCGAGTTAACCGGCCGACACTACGTTATAATCAAATACCGGCCAATAATCAGTTATTACCAAATCATCGTAGAATATTGTATGTTTTTCTGCGTGTGATGTGTAACGCGTCCGACGCCCGTTACTTTCATTGTGCCTCTCTGCCGGACAACATGACGTGTGAGTAGGTACTATTTTACCGCGGACGTCCTGTGGACGACGCCCAGTCACAATATCACGATTTGGTAATACCATTCTTATTATTATTATTATTATCATATACTATACCTTGGCCGGTATTTCATTTCATTTCGTTTCGTTTCTTTTCTGTGTATAATACACACTATAGTGTACTAATATTATTGTATTATTATTATTATTATGCATTTGTTGTATTTTTTCTAAGGTGACCCTTTTTGTTGCGTTCAAGTTTTTATGCCAGTGTGGGCTTTTCTTGGCCATAAATTAATTATTCATTTTCCATAAGATCATTAAAATTAATATACCTACCTTTTAACTCACCCATCAATTGTATGTTCTTATTGTTTTTTCCTATTTACATTATTCTGTTACAAATCCCACACGCTCCGGTTTCCGAATCTCGGCTGTGGGTTGGCGACCTTCCCACTAAAGTTTTTCGTCAACGTACGCTCCACGCCGAATCTGGGTAAGCCATCGTGTGAGACGTTACAACATATATATTTTGAATGAATAAATTGCCTTTGACATCCACCTGGCATGGTGAAAAGCACCAGGATAGTGAAAAAATATACCGTTTGGTGGGTTTTCACCTAAAAAAATAACAGTCAACTCTAGAAGTTCTTTGTAATCTTCTCTACATTGTTTTTTTTTTTTAATTTTGTAAACAGAAGTCTATAATTTGAGATTTATTTGTTTCAACTGTAGATTTTACAACTGCATCATTTATTCCAATTTCATACTTTTTTAAGTCAATTTCGGGCCAGGCTTGTTGGAATTTTTTAAAAATAGGAACATCAGGACCAATAGTATTTATTTTTAATTTAATTTCAAAAACACTTCTTAGCACTAATTCGTATATATGTCGCCTACAAGGTAAATATAAAAGATTTCGTCCTATCAGTTGTTCCAATATAATACAGGCACCATTTAACCGACCCGTGTTTGATGCCGTCGTATCACAACATAAAGCTTGTACTTTATTTGTTACACCCCAATCATTTATAATATCAAATATTGCATTTGCTTGTTGTTCTCCAGTACCACTTTTGAGCTTTGGCACACCAAGTAATTGAGTAATTTGTTCAATTTCTATTTTCGCTTTCTTTCGACGTTGTTTGGATTTATGTAAATTGACAAAGGCCCTATTTTCTTTTTTTGCCAAATTTCTATCAGTTCCCAACATGCATCCCGGTCTTCCCTTTCGTCTTTGCATTAGTAAAAAATTTTTATCTTCCTCAATTTTCATCATATTTAATGCATTTGAATGAGATACATCAAATAAGTCATTTAATTTTTCCTTGAACTCATTGACATTTTTTGTATTTTTTTCTGATGCTCTTTTAGCCGATTTTTGTAACTCTCGTAAGTTTTGATATAATTTTTCCAATTTTAAAATACAATGCTGTTCATCTCGAACTGGTATTCTCGCTTTTTGCCAAAATAATACTGTTTCTTTAAATACCAATCTTGCACTTTCCCGCAAATTCAATTTTACATGTCTCAAATTATAAAATAGCACACTCAAAACTTGTTTGATAGATGGTAACTTACTGCCAACAATTTGGTTGTTCACATTTCCAACTAAATATACTTCATCATGCGTACGTAAAACAATATGTGATGACGATGAAGCCATTTTATAATAAATATTCAATATTAATTTATAGAACATGCATTTTTTTCAAAATATTATTCGTAAATAAAATAGTGTAAAGCATAAATGATATACGGTATCGCGATTTATGAACATTGAGCAATGAACAGTACCTACATAAACAGACGACAATAATGCACGAAGTGACAGTGTGTAATAACTGAACAACGAAAAATAATTATCCAAAACGGAAAACGAGTGCTTATTTGTAGTGAAAGAAATTACGAAACAAAGATGAACAGAAACACAACTTCAGACAAATAGATATTACGGGTTGTCAAACGTGAGACGACCTCGGACAAACGTAACTCGTAGACAAATAACGAGGAAACAAAAGAAAAACAATAAAACAACGGGTTTCGATAATAATAGAAAATAATAAAATATTATGGATGAATATCACCGGAACGTCGGGACGACACTCAGAACACACAGCGAATTGGTAACATATTCGAAAATCACCTTGGCCGGTAGGTATCATATTTTAATTTAAATAGACAGAAACTATCTCAGCAAGAAATAATTATGGAGCAACAAACAAAAAGTCATTGATCGACTTGCATTGAAATATTATAATAAGTAAAAAAAAAAACAAAACACAATGTATAAAATAATTCTCTACACAAATATAGATGGTGCCGAATGCTCAAAAAATTGACGAAAAATTCATTAGACGAAGAGAAAAAGAAAAATATATAAATTGTTCACCCCGCCAAATATCCACACTCTATCACTATGGTACACCACACTCGTATCGCGACGAGGACCTATTAACACATAAGCGAAAGGTACTCACGGACTTGCTCAGACGTGCGACAACCTATATAACGCGAGCGATATACATGCGCTCCGGTCACCGCGGGACATACAGCTTATGGGCAACTTAAAACTAATCGTCAATGTGTGCACGGACCTAACGTGGGTAAAACAGTTTAAAAGTCTCGGTCTACCAATTCTGATCAAATAATATCAGAGATTATCATTGTTAAAAAACTGGAAACAGAAATAAATACGGCGGACGGAAGATCGTCGTCACAGCACATAATATATTACGCGAGTAAAATCGACATATCAGCTGATCAGTGATTACACAAAATCAACAATAAGAACAACAACAATTTGGAACGATAACAACGAGGTACAAAACGTTGTAATAATTTAAATTAGACATCGGGGAACGATCGTACAGCCGTACTGGAACGATACGCACCCAATTACGAATAATTACTATCGCACAACGGCGGTAGACCGATAAAGTTAATTACTAGTGGTTACGTAATCGAACCAAATAAATAGGATGAGACATATATACAGGTGCACACAAAGACGTGTACAAATAACATACTTAAGATTAAACCATATAGCTAGCCGCCGTTTCTGCCCACACCGCGATGAGGACATACACCTCCCCTTAATGTCGATGTAACCTCCGAGACACGGTTCTGTGGTACCGGGGACAACAGCAACGAGTAGTGGTGGAAAACGTCCAAGTCAAACCAATCCTCTGGACGGCTGCGGTACACACACCTGCACTATCACCCTCCGATCCCAGCATGGTGGAGATCCGTTTTGCACGACACCGTCATATCATAAGTAGGTACACTTGATCACCGGATCATTTCTGAAAATACACGCAGGCAGTACTGGTTCTACGTAACCTTATATATATAACTTATGGCCGGTACTTTACACTAACGTGATGCTGGTTGCACGTACCCTTTTTGTTGTACAATAAACACACGACGTATAGATATATATATATATATATTTGACCGACAGGTCACTAGCGTATGTCATGTACACTTAATACAAAATTAATCCTGGCAAGGTCGCCAACTGTAACGTCTCACACGATGGCTTACCCAGATTCGGCGTGGAGCGTACGTTGACGAAAAACTTTAGTGGGAAGGTCGCCAACCCACAGCCGAGATTCGGAAACCGGAGCGTGTGGGATTTGTAACAGAATAATGTAAATAGGAAAAAACAATAAGAACATACAATTGATGGGTGAGTTAAAAGGTATATTAATTTTAATGATCTTATGGAAAATGAATAATTAATTTATGGCCAAGAAAAGCCCACACTGGCATAAAAACTTGAACGCAACAAAAAGGGTCACCTTAGAAAAAATACAACAAATGCATAATAATAATAATAATACAATAATATTAGTACACTATAGTGTGTATTATACACAGAAAAGAAACGAAACGAAATGAAATGAAATACCGGCCAAGGTATAGTATATGATAATAATAATAATAATAAGAATGGTATTACCAAATCGTGATATTGTGACTGGGCGTCGTCCACAGGACGTCCGCGGTAAAATAGTACCTACTCACACGTCATGTTGTCCGGCAGAGAGGCACAATGAAAGTAACGGGCGTCGGACGCGTTACACATCACACGCAGAAAAACATACAATATTCTACGATGATTTGGTAATAACTGATTATTGGCCGGTATTTGATTATAACGTAGTGTCGGCCGGTTAACTCGACCACGGGTACTAGGCAGCGGTGATAGTGTGTGTGTACGTCGACTATCGTAATATGCATATCGCCTTTGTTTTGGATGTGGGCAGAGATGCCCGCGGGACGGAGAGCTCTATCGTATAATATTTACCATTATTATCGTTGTTCATTTTCGACCGTTACAATGTTTCGAAAACAATTTAAACTTAATGTTCGAGAAGAAAATGCATTTCGAGATATATGTATTTTTCTAATTACGATATACGTAGAAGCATGGTTTAAATGCCCTTCTGCAATTGAAGCACCTTATAACGACTTCATATTTTTAAAAAAATTAATCGAATACCCAGATAAAGCTTTTTCTGAAACAGCTACACATAAATTTTGTGGACACTTATGGTACCTTGCGCCGGAAATTATAGCCTTATCATTTTTTGATTTTCGGGTGCCAACCGAAATTAAAATTAAAATGGTGGAAGCACTTAAATCAACCCAGAACAATGATGATACAATTAAAAAAATTGTTTTGAGTAAAGAGGGTATAAAAACATTTATAAAAAAAGAATTACATGAATTTGTATCACCAGAAACAGTCAACTTTTTTTCAAGATTTAAAATTTCAGCTGACTTCATAGATTTCCACCCGGATAATTGAAAAGAAAGAGAAGACTATAAAAAAGGAATTAATATTTTAACAGAGTTATCAGTCATAAATTATGTTGCAGAAAGAGGCGTTAAGTTAATTCAAGAATACAATAGTATACTGACGAAAGATGAAAATCAAAAACAATTTCTATTACAAGTTGTAAATGATTATATAAAGAAAAGGTACGTATCTAATTTTCTCATTGTATTACTCCATTGAACCACTTTCTATTTATTTTTAAATGACACCAATATTTATGTACTTGTGTAAATAAACGTTTTTTTTTTTTTTTAAGATTAATTTTTCCACAGAAATTAATAGATTTACGATAAATTTTGTCTGAACGTTTTTTATCTACAATTTAGGTCCTATACAATTTTATGCTAAATGCAATATATAATGAATTAAATCAGAATAACCCTACAACTACCCTATTTGATGAATATTCAACCCTCTTGCGGCACCTGAAGGGGATTATTAATCATCCCCAAATCTTACCCACATAACTTTTGTATGGTTATGAAAACATTGGGAGGGTGAGAAATCAAAAATATTTAACTTTCCTTACCCCCCCCCCTACTATATAAGGGCCACCCTAATATATACATATACATATATATATACAATTTAGCCGCAAGAATAGTTGCGCGGCTATACATACATATATATATATTTATATATATATACATACAAATATATATATATAAATGATAATAAAATCGTGGCTGGGAAAACCGGCCACGATTTTAGATATCAAAAAAATATATAAATTTAATTTAGCCGCAACTACAGTTGCGCGGGTATATTAATATATTATATTATAATATATACAATTTAGACGCAAGTGTAGTTGCGCGGGTATACATACATCTATATATACAATTTAGCCGCAAGAATAGTTGCGCGGGTATATTAATATATTATATAATATATACAATTTAGACGCAAGTGTAGTTGCGCGGGTATACATACATCTATATATACAATTTAGCCGCAAGAATAGTTGCGCGGGCATAATAATATTTAATAAAATAGCCGCAAGTATAGTTGCGCGGGTATACATATATATATATATTATTATAAGTCCTATATTTCATTTAATATTTGATAATATCAAGTCGGAACAACACAGATATGTTTTATATGCTTATCTACACTACATATTAAAAGTTTACCCCCGCTTCATATTTTTCATTTAAGTATAACTCCGTTGCTATTTATGTTAGAATCTTCATTTTTACATTAAACATTTTTGATTTTAATTCTTTATAAGTCCCCCTCATAGTATCATAGTGTAAAATCGCTTTCAAAGATTTTTGGATTTTAATAACGCGCGCCCCATTCGGGTGAGCGTTAAAATAAAAATGATAATAAGGAAGTTATGGGATTTGGTGACAATAATAACGCGTCCGTAATTTACGGACGTGTTAAATTCTAACATGGTCGGATTATTGGACCGTGTTATATTTTATACAAAATATGTGAAATATCGAAATAATTATATACAAATTGTATATAAAAAAAGCACTGAAATTTGGATGTAAAAGTGTTAAAATACATAAATTTATAGAATTTTTAAAAAATTTAAATGTAATGACGCGTTCCCGAACGGGGAACGCGTTAAATATAGATATGAAATGCATACATTTTTAAAAAATAATGATATTGAATTTGAACAGATTTGTTTAAATTTTTTGTAATTTTAACAGATTTGTTTAGATTTTTTGTAATTTTTAACAGGAATATATAAGGTCGGTTTTTTTTAATGTTTTTTCAATGTTATTTTAGATGTTTTTTATGCTTTTTTGTGTGTTTTTTATGCTTTTTTTAAAGATTTTTTAAGGTGTTTTTTTGTAATATAAAAAGTGTACCAAAGTATACTACTATGTAATTGTAATATATAATATTTAGACTTAGAATAAAACCCGAGACAAATAATGAAAACGGACCATATTATGGAGTGTGGGTGGTCCGATATGCATATATACGTACGCATTAGGTACATATATACCTACAATATACGCACTCCTTTTACATACACGCAGCACCTGCAACACATAAATAATATTCTACACTTCTCCGACCAGATATTTAGTGGAGACAACACAATCAAATATCAACGGCGCCAGTAAACACCGTATATATCATTCTTTCATATACATATACGTACATAACACGTGTACGTACATATATATATATATATATATATATATATATATTATATACTTCAAGTCCCCTTCGATAATTCTCCAATCAAGACGTTCGGTCAAAACAAAACTATAAATTACCAGCTGTACCGGTGTCGCACCACACAAAATAATAAAAATATATCAATACTTTAATCGATGCACAAGAAGAAGGGATAAACCAAAATCACATTATATAAGGGCCACAGAGCATCGACTCGTAGCCAGTGTCTATTCCGGAGATACACATGGTCCACGACAGTATCTTTCAGGAGAAGACTCATGTACAACGTCCAAGCCAGTCAACATCACGATCTTTTTCCACTACTGTCCAAAGGATCACTGTGCGTTTATGCGTATACAATATATGTATATTGAACCATTCCTTCTCCCGGTATGTCTGTCTAAATTTTTTGTCTCTTTGTCAGTTAAATTAAAATTGTTCATCTTTTTACACTAACCTATCCATTAGTCTTTCAAAACATAAGGTTCTGTGACAGTCATCATATTATAGGTCTGTCACATCGTTACTACACATTTATGTTTTAGAACACGAGTATAGTAATAAGTGCTCTCTTAGCTTAAATTACATTCGGTCGGCGGTTGGACTATACGTACTAGCTGTCACGAATGTAGGGATTCTAAGAGCTATATTAGAATATAAGTATAGAAGTAAGTGCTCTATTAACTTAAATTACATTCGGTCGGCGGTTGGACTATATGTACTAGCTGTCACGAATGTAGGAATTATAAGAGCTGTATTTAGAATACAAATATAGAAGTAAGTGCTCTATTAAGAGGCCGTTCTGGTACGAAAATTCGGCCGTAAAAACATGGTTTCGTACTTCTCATTTTCCTCAGCTCTCGTTAGTCGTAGAAACATAATTTTTTCACCAAAATAAACGTGAGAAGTTGATCTAGGTTTTGTCGTTCCAGATTTTCGAATTTTTTTTTCAAACCGATTATATTTGCATTTTAAATTTTCAAAATTTTTAAAAAATCATATAAAATAGACAAAAAAAGATATCAAAAATCTGGAACGACAAAACCTAGATAAACTTCTCAGGTTTATTTTGGTGAAAAAATCATGTTTCTACGACTAACGAGAGCTGAGGAAAATTGGAAGTACGAAACCATGTTTTCGGTAAGAAAAACACGATTTTACAGCCGTCATGTGCTGCTCTACTGACACTAGCGGCAGCGTTCAAAAATAGTGTTCCTACCACTACCCCGCGCTCGACTGTAGCCCATAGACTTATAATATATAGACCGCGCATTAGTGAAATATATTTAAGCCAACATATGTGCGAAAGAGACAGACTCTGACATTACTTTATCTAGGAGATTATAAACAATTTTATAATACTCCTTGGTAGTAATGAAGTTTATTAAATATTATCAATTTTGTTATCATTATTTTATATTTTAAATATTTATAATCTCAAGGAGTAATGTACAAATTGTCTATAAACTCCTTGAAATTGTAATGTCAGAGTCTGTCTCTCTCACTTTACAATATACAGTTCAGTGTTCTCTCTCGCACAGATGTTGGCTTAAAGTGTTACACACAAAAAGAGCGTAATGCGCGGTCTATATATTATAAGTCTATGCTGTAGCCATACCACACCGTAGTTCAAAACCAGATTTCTTATCGCGACCGGGCCGCTTGCCGTTTATAAATAATCGGTAAGAAAACAATTATGTTGGTGACAGAACTGTTTTCATAATACCCATATCGAATTTTATACTTCGTATATTATTATTATTATTCTGCTCGCCGTGTTTTACACAAACTAAAAATCTCACATCCTAAAATTGTTATAAATCGTTTAACAAAATTACAATTTAAATAATTATTTTTTTAATCTTGTAGAGAATTCAACGAGAAAATTATTTTTTTTTAACGTTGACTAACAAAATATGAAATTTAATTCAGAATAACAAAAAAAAACCTTAGATTCATATTATGAATACATGGAAATCTGTTGAATAAAGTGACCAGTGTAATCAATGTACCCAGGTACAACATAATTCGACTTATAATAATTAAAACAATAAACCCCTAATTATATGAACTGAAACACAATTGTTTATATAAAGCAGTCAAATACGAACTGTATTTATTTTTAATTAGTTATAATAGTAGGTACATTCCTATATTACAGATTATTTATTTATTTATTTATTCATTCATTTATTTATTTATTTATTTATAATATATTAATATATAAACGGGTTGAACACAATTCAAAATATGATAAAACAAATTAAAAATGACATCGAAATACATTCAATGCATCAAACATTCACAATTTAAAAAAAAAATCATATTTACAATCTATTCATACAATAAGCACATTCGATAATAGAATGAGAAGCACGTCATGATAAATCATGAAATTGTAAAAAATAATAAAATTCTAGGTATATAATATGTAAAAAACATAACATTTTAACATGATAATAGTATATAGCATTAAATTACCTATTACCTATGTCCTATAATCTATATTGTATAATATATAATAGTAAAAATTTTCGCGTGCCCACAAAATCTTTTCGCGTGCCATGGATTTGCCATCCCTGGTATATAGTAATAATTATTGTACATAAATACATGAATATTAATCGCGGTACACTATTTTTTTTTTTGCCGTTTTTGTTTTTATATTTTCCAAAATATGTTGAGGATCTAAAATGTCATCTACCAACAGCCTCTTTCCGTACTGGGGATTGACTATTTCTGGAAGTAAGCATTCTGTATAAAAACTGAAAATAAAATTTGATATTATGCTTATGTAATTACTTAAAAATCCAATTAGG